CAACAAGTTCCGGCCAGGTAGGTGATTTCGGCCCTCCGAGTACGCCATGGAGGTAGGAAGTAAGAAGGAGTCGCCCTAAACAAGTTCCTCCGTACCCTACTCTGAAGCACCGGCGCTCCCTACGTGGTGACCAAAACATTGGGTCATTTACCATTGAGTTCTATGGGATTTGACGCGTTCGGGTGTAAATATTTTGTAATTACGTCGCAAATATACATATAAATGTATATATTTCTTTTTTCTACAAACACTTCAAGTCCTAAGTATGTGAAAACAAACTATTTTTAAACAACATTCATTCTGAACGGAATTAAATGCTATACTTTTCACAGGGACAGTTTCTCAGAATGGTTTAATTTGAATGAAATATTTTCACAATTTTCGTTAATTACATTAGAAAAAAAAATTAAGGTAATTCGATTTTATCGGTTAAGGTACAAAAATTTAGATCAAAGTTTATTGTATTATTAATATTAAAATTATGCATTATTTCTTTTCTATTTATAGAGTTACTTCCTAAAATACTTTCTTAATAGACATGATTTATATTATTAATTAATATATTATTAATATTAAAATTATCCATTATTTTTTTCTATTAATGAGCTTCTTCCTAAAATACTTTCTTAAATATGATGATTTTTTGGCTTCTTTAAATCGAAAAATGTAAGTTAATTTATAACTAATGCTCTATTCGGTTCATATTAAATTAGAGAATTATTAGGAATTAAATAGTATTTGACTTTCTCTGAACATTTTTGAAAGGGAATAAAATAAGTTTTTTTTAAAGTATTATTTAAAACTTGTAACTGAGTTATTATAAAATGTAAAGGGAATAATTCTTTTAATTATACTTATCAGATTTTTTTTTTTAACCCTTCATTTCAACAATACATATTCCAAAACTCTTTATTACGTTCTTAAGTGCGAATCTCATAGCATTTGCTTTACAATACCTTTTAACAGATTGCTTTCCAATACGAACAATTCTTGCTTAAATAGTTTTATAACGTATTTGTCAACAGGATTTCAATTTATGTTTACAATTCAATATTAAGGTTATTATATATTTAGATACATTTATAATCATTAAAATTAGATACCATTTAATAATTAGATTTTCTTCACAGTACTTTCACAGTTGTTTATAAGTGAATAAATTCTTCATTTCAAATACATTATAAATAATTTAATGAATGTTAAGTATTTTGTCAAAGGCGATACATGCTTTTTGCAAGCGCATGCATAAATACCCTACTATTTCCTATTATCATTTCCTGCATGTGCAATTTTTAATTTCTGTGCATTCACATATTTTACGTGTAAAGTAATTTACACTAATTTAAGCATACACCCGAAAGTTTATATAAAAAAAATATATAGAATATAATTTGAATGAAAATTATAAGTATTATTTTAATACCCACTCAAGGTCAGTTTTCTTCAAAATTCCTCCACGATGGCATCTCTCTCTTTAGGCAGATAGCCTTTGCATGCGTTACTCTATTTAATAAAAACTTAATCTGACCTATGTGCCTAATTACAAATATTTTAACATACATAATTTTATATTTACATTTAGCCATCAATTTCAAACTTTTCAAATCTTCTAGAAAATAATTTGGCAGATCTCTTTTAGCAATTTTCTTAAAATCTATATTTTGTTAGTGCAACAGCTTAGAATTTATAAAACAATTCTAATCAAAATCGCTGTTGTTAGTTATCGAAAAATAACCATTATGTGATTTTTGCGTAAATGTCAGTAAACTATACAAATTGCTATTATCCTCACACTATGAATTTTCTTTCATGCGAGAGGCCCTTTTTCAATTTCTATGGAACTGTCGTGTGTCGAAATACTATCAGAATCTTGTCAAGCGAGCTTCTGAAAGTAAACAAAGAACACCCAGTCTGGTGACCCAAGCTTCAAAGCAGTGCTTCACTTCTAGCGCGGAATGGCCCCTCCTCCCTTTCCTACCTCCATGGAGTACGCTGGCGAGACAGCGCCTTCCGGCACCAGGAACCTGGTCCGGGTATTTTGTGCCTCCAAAGTCGTTACTGTCTGTAATGATACTAAGGCAGTGTAAACGACCCCAGGGGGTGAATTGGAACCTAAGCCGAACTACCGTTGTTCAGCAGGCTTACCATTTTGCCGCTAATAAGCAAAGAACTGTTAATTCCTCCAACATTCACCAAACTGATCATTAATCTGGTTTCGCTTCGTACGTGGTATGAAACGTAGCAATACAGGTGGCGTCTGAACCCTTTCATACCGTAATAATTTGTAAAAGAACGATATCATAATCGAGCATTAACCATCAGAAAATGTTTTTCCTCATGTATGCATTCGATTTCTGCACTAATGTCATATTCAGTAGAAGGCTAGAAATAGGATTAAAAACTGTACATAATAATAAAGCAGCTTATCGTAATTCATGAATAAATTTTAAGTTCTACGAATAATCAGAGAAATGTACTGAAGGGGTGTTGGAACCCCAAAATCTTCAAAAAATTGTGATTTTGGATTTTTGCATTTTCAAATTCTCTACACTTTTTTCTTTCTAAAAATACCGTTCTTTAATCTCTATGAAAATTAGAACTGTAAAAAAAATCTAGTTTTAATTTGTCATCTACTGATCAATGAGAATTTTTACATAAAAACGCGTTTTTCTCCAAACGTGATTTTTTTATACTCAATGTAAATTTTTCTCAGGAACTACTGCTCACAGGTATCTAAACTCTTATGGCTTATTTATTAGGTTCCGTAATATTTACTGAAATGAGCTTTTTGTAATAAACTTAAAAAAATTTTTTTAAATTTTTTTGCGTGAGAAAAGTGCTAAATTTTACTATGCCTAACAAAATATTCTGTAATTTACTCTAAAATTCAAAATGCTTCAAAAGCTCACTTCAGTATAATCAGATAGGTATACTTTAGTTACAGAAAAAATTTCAAGCTTGTATCTACAGCATATTTTGAGAAAAGGTACATCGAAAATGGCCAATTTAACATTGTCGGTATAGGGGTTTCTGATACCCCTGAAGCCAATACAGTGCAACTAAAAGTTTTAAGACTAATTATTTTTTTAAAAAATTCAGAAAACCTGCGGGAGGATAATTTACAGCATTATTATTATGACCTCTCAGCTTGCTTCCTCTCATATATCATTTGCTAACGTACAGAATTTTCTACGTAATAAATAGTTTACTTTGATGTCATGGATTAGAAATTTGAGTAAAGAATAGCAATGCAATTTAGCTGAAAAGCGGAAAGTTTTCAAACAATCTTTAACTAAGGAAGAAACTTAGTGCTGTGCTTATGAACCTCAGACAAAACGGCAATCATCTATACTTGGACTGGTGAAGATTCATGGTCAGCATGCAGTGGCGTAATTAGAAATTTTGGGCCCCTATGCCGAAGTACTAATAAAAGGAGGGAAAGAAAAAATTTGAAAAGTTTTTAGATTTTAACAGCCACCCAAGAGGATTTGCTGAGATTTTTACGCTCTCTCTGAGCACGTAGTCTACCAGTCTGTTGCTGCACTCACTCCTGTGAACCGCACTTTTTTTAAACCTTTTTAGCTTTATTATTAAGCATCGATTTCTCCGCACTTACGCCACATACAGCTAAACACCGAAAACACAAAATTTTTTAAATCTGAATAGCAGCATATGTTTAGACCCCCCGATGCAGTGTTAAGCGTTGACATACATTTATATATATGTTTTCAGTTTTTCCCCAGTTCAATCTATCACTATTCAGGTTTCTTAGCAAGCTGGCTAACGGTGTTTTTTTTTTTTTTTTTTTTTTGTGTTAACTTTATTTATTAAGTATAACGTTTATCTTATATCTTTATATGTATATAAAGATAGAAATTTAGAACTAATCTTTTCCAAAAACCAAAAATTGAAATTCATAATTAATAAATTTCGATAAATCCTTTTATGTAGAATACGAATTCTTATATATATATAAGCCAGGTATGTTACTCTTAAAAACTTAAAAGAAAACGGATTCTATTATATAGTGCATCCGTTTTCTCTTACCTTTAAACATATAAATGTAATTAAGCAGGACATTCAAGGGCCCATAAGCCTTTAGACCCCTATGCGACGGCGTTCCTTGCATACCCTTATTTACGCCACTGGCAGCATGGTCATATCATTTCAACATCGTCTTTGTTGGAGATTCCTGAAATTGAAGTTTACTGCGGAAACTTCTGTTCCAGAAATCTCTGGCCACCGTCTTGATTAGAAAAAGATAATTGTGAAGGAATTTGTTCCCGAAGGAAAGATGCTAAATTCTATATTTCACGAAGACGTAATGGACAAACTTCTGAAGAGAATTCAACCCGCTAGGCCCGAAGAAGCTCAAATAAATAACTGATTTCTTCTACACGACAATGTGCCGTCATACAAATCTGTTTCTTATTAAACAGTTTCTAGCACAAAAATGTGTCACAGTTCCAAACCATTCTCCCATTCACCAGATTCGGTACCTGGAAAATATTTTATCTTTCGCTACGTGAAGTCCAGCCTCAAAATATAAAATATATTATAAAAAGAATGCGTCGAAACGTTTTCGTTTTTCCTTTGTTTCTTATCTTTATTTATTTTCAGATACATTGTGTAAAAATATTTGGCAATCGTAAAATTATTATAATAAGTTAAAGAAATATCAAAACTGCTAAAATTTTTGGCAACACCCTGCTGCAGGTCCCGCGACCCACAATTTAAGAAACTCTGGTGTACATGAAAGGCTAAGCAATAAGAATGCAGTTTTCTCTAACTTTAGAATTCCTACAAAATTTAACTTAAACTTTGGTATGCAAGTGTATACATGCATACATTGGAAAAAAAATATTAAATTACAAAGTTTGCTTCTGACAGTTCTAGTTTTCTTCTGATGCCAAAATATATAAATATAGAATAATTGCGATAAATGACAAATATCAAAGCTTATTAACATAAAATACAGTTTTAAACTTTGATTGATTTACCTCCCATTACTCCGTATGTTATCATGAGCACATCGATGGTTGGTGCCATAGTGCTCAGAATAAAAGCGGTACAGGAGACGAGGCTGCCAGCGATGGTGACCACTCGACATCCGAATCGATTCGTTAAAGCACTAACAATAGGACCTGAAAAATAATTCAATTTATTATCAGAAATGCGATGGAACTGAAATCAATAAAAATTCTATTCAACTAATACATTCTAATACAATATACCTTAAATGATACAGGAATTATATAAATTCGTAAGGTCTACATTTATTTCATGGAATACTAAAAAAAAATCGAACTACATTTTCCGTTTTTCGTCTTTTTGAATTAAGTATTGCACCAGAAATACTCGTAATTCGAATGCCCAGTAGAAAGAAGCGTATAACAGATACCTACCATGCTTGCGATTTTTTACATAAAATCAGATTTTTTCCCCCTTTTCATCTAAGAATTGTTAACATAATAACTTGTATCTATTCTCAACAAATGAGTAAAATAAAATCGCAGATTGAATTAATTTGGATAGTCGCCAGTCAAAAGAGATCACCAAGTAAAATCACTTTAATACTCTTAAAATACTTATCACATTATAAGGTATTTCTCCCACTTCCCTAGGGTGCCTTCGTGGTGTAACGTTGTCTGCGCGCTCAGCCGCGTGAATTGAGATGTCCGCGGTTCGATTTCAGGCAAAGGCGGTTGCTAATTTTTCATCTCTCTGGCTTCCAAAAAATCCTAATGTCTCTACAGTGGCACCCAAACTAAAAGGGTTGTAGATGATGATTCTCCACATCCGAGATTTGGTGACTAGGTCCCCTAAAACCCTAGTCGCCCTTTAAAATGATAGTATATAAGGTATTTCTCCCACTTCCCTAGCGTGCCTTCGTGGCGTAGTGGTTCTGCACACTGAGTCTGTATTTCAGAGGTCCGTGGTTAGATTCCCGGCGAAGGCGGTTGCATATTTTTCATCTTTTCTGCTTCCAATTAACCTAATGTTTCTACAACATAACACAAAACAACTCTGAAGCTCTTTTTGTATTTATACATGTCTTGAAAAGTATTTCCTAGATATATGAGGCATATGCTAAATGCTACTTCACAAAAAATGGCTAAGAAGTATATACTACAATTTTATTTATACCATATTTTATTTGAAATTACAGTCCTTTCTCTGTAAATTTATGCCTCAGAACCCTGGAGCCTATTCAGAAAGGTTTCAAATACATGAAAATATGTGGAATAGGAAATATTGCAGTATTCCTTTGGCATATAGTATATTACTTCTTGTCAAAGTCCAATAAATATAATGGAGTAACTCAGCGACCAATCCGCGCTCGTACCTGAAAAAGATCCAATATTGGCAGCGAAGGTTAAAGAGTACTTCTGCCTTAGTGGGTACGATGTTTGGTTTCTATGTCTCACATCTCGATTCGACCCCCAAGGCCACTTAAGACCTTCAAGGATACCAAGCCAGCAGTTGCGCAGGTAGGAAATCACAGTCGTTACACTTGTAGAAGACATTAGCTTTTTCATATTGTCGAACGCAGCCTAAGTTATAGCCAGTCAGGGAAGGCAAATTTATGCGTACTTGAATATGACTACAGAGCTTCAGTTTGCTTGGTTCGCTATAATTGGTCGATTTTTACGCCATTTTAATGGAGAGTTAAAATATTCGGCAAAAACCTTACACTAACTTCTATGACGTAGCAAGATTTTATTGTCCAGCATCAAAATTATGTTTATGCCAGTTGTAGTCGTCCAAGCCGTTCGGATATCGGTTTAGTGTTGCTGAAAACGATCCACAAACTGTTGATGCAAATGCTGACAACCTGTTCTCGTGTAGTATAAAAGCGAATATTTCGAAAATGGCGGTTCTTATATATATATATATATATATACACGAAATTCTCATAAATTTCCGAATCTAAAGAGTACGTTTAGAAAGAAAGATTTAGCAAGAATGTGTATTCCAAGCACTTCTTTCCTGGCGATTATAATTTGCTACGTTAGCAAATGTCGTATTTCCTGTTTATTATTTTACTATTTCAGTTTTCGATTTATTAGTTTATAAACGTTTTTATCAGGTTCATTAGGAAGGTTATAAATGCAGTTCTGTGGAAATTATGGGAGAGGTATTAATGCCAATGTTAAGGGACATAAAGGGTTATTAACACATCTTGGTAATAAATTTATGGGAGTTTGAAAAACGAAATATAAAGAAGGAATCATAGGCATTCTGCTGATATCAGCAGTCAGAACAATTTGCTAGGTTGAGAATTACTGCCATATTCCAAATTAAAATAATTTACAAGTATATGGATATGCATCATTAAAACATATCACATCACAGAAATTTTTAATTCTTTCAAATAATGCTTTATTGTTTGAAATATTATGCTCTGGAGAAAAATAAATACCTGAAATATAAAAGATGTATAGAGATATAAAATTTTAAGCAGTTTTCGCTCAGGTGGTTGAAATCTGCAGAATCATTATGGTACTGCTCCTTACAACAAGAGTTAACAAAGTATAAAGAAATCTCAGTTCAGGTGTATTTGACGTCAACGATGAATTTAAAGCCCATCAATCGGTCATTACAATCGCCAACTGTCTAAATCCTCAGTTACGACCCTTATAGTTCGGCCGTCTCAAGCGCAACCCTGTTTGGCATTCTGCCAAAAGACATAGACTCGTCCAAAAGGGGCGGTATTACTTGCTGCGACGTGAAAGGTCTTTTCTTCTCCGGAAAGAGGTATACTGGAGGGAAAGAAAGTCCCCATCCTTCCACCCTATTTTGAGAATAATTCGGTCCGAATGGCGCATGCGTGTTTGTTGTTCATGGTCGCGAATGAGGCGGTCGAACTATACTAAGAGAAGGCGCCTCAAAATGGCAGCAGGAAAGTGCCGTCTTGAGGAAGAAGATTTTAAACTTATAATTTTTTTAGGTATAAAAATCGCAAGATAATTCCTTCTTCAAGTAACAAGGTTATTTCTTTTTTAAAGTAATTACTGTGTTCCTTCTAATTCCACCACTTTTATGAAAAAATACGAACTGACCGTAAATACGATTTTTTCAAAATGTGGATTTGGGACGTAAAGCAAAACCAAAATTCTTGGCATTTTTGAATCTATAATTCCGTTTATAAGAGCTCTTAGAAAACTGTTGAATAAATTTTTCGGCTTCACTTCTGTTCTCAAAATCGGACTATACGAAACCTGCATCCGATGGAACAATCAGATGTATTATAAGCTAGCACACAATAACCCCACACAGACAGTATGCAATCAATCGAAATAATGCCACAAATATTCTTAAAAACATTTACAAGTAAAGCAAGTTTTAGAAATATCTTTCATATGAACAAGCATTAGTACATTTTATTATCCCTAAATGCAAAATATTGCATTGATCTAACCTAAAATCACCTCTTCATATTCTTTCTAATTAAATATAAATGTATTACTTAACAGTATGATACTCAAATTTATCTCCAGCAGTAAAATATGCTATACAGTTCTATATTCTGTACTTTCTAAAAAGCGAAGTCCATTCTTGAATATATTAAGAAAATCATTCGAGACAGACCATAGATTTTGAAAACATTCCAGTGCTTTTGCATAAAGTACTAATTATAACAATATTTTAGAAGCAACAAATGTGTAATAAAAGGTTCAGAAAAGAGTAGTTGTTGTTTCCAAATTAACTAACATCATCAGATCCCATTATTATGTTTCAGATGCAGTCTACTACTGAAAGAGGAACAGGACTCCGAAAAGTAATTTCATATAGGAAACTTTTTAAAAGGAAACATTTTGTAATCGTATTTAATATAGGGACTATAAGGTGTTGTTGAGCGGATGATAAAAGTGTTCAATTCACATAAATTGCAATTCCCCATGCAGTTTTCTAGGTGTGTGCATTACTGAATGAAAGTGATTTACGCCACCGATTTTACGCCGAGAGGAGTTTTACTTATGAGATACGGCTAATACAGAGTATCTACTAAAAACTGGTGAAATGGATGAATTCCATGTACTTCCTTTGAGCAGCTGCTTAGTTTCGATCCGGAGTCCTACAGTTAAAATGCACGTCAGAGAGCTACGTTTTCAGATAACAATATACACTGCTGGCCACCCAAATTGCAACACCAAGAAAGACAAGAAATATCACAACAAAATTTATTTAGTAGATAACATGTTGACCAAGTATCAAATGATTAAATTTATAGATTTCTGTGAAGTGTGGTTTCTTCTAGAATCAGTAGCCGGAGTATCCGCCCATTGTTAGAAATTACCGCTGCCACAAGCCTCGGCATTGATTCAAAGAGACTTTGGATGTGCTCTTGGGGTACAGTAGACCAGCTTCCACACGTTGCCAAAGTTGATCTGGTGTGGCAGCTTGGAATGTAATCTAGGTCAATCGTTCAGCAACCATGGATCACATGTTTTCTATTGGCGAAAGATCCGAAGAGCGAGCTGGCCTGGGAAGCAATTCAATCTGGCGATTGACGAAGAACCCTTGGACAATGCGTGCCACGTGTGGTCGCGCATTATCCTGTTGAAATATGGCTGTGGGCAAGTCCTGAAGGTAAGGAAGGGCAACTGGCTCAAAAACCTCGGGGATGTAGCGCTGGCTGTTTAAAGTGCCGGCAATGCGTATTAGAGGAGTGCGAGAGTGATATCCAATACCGCCCCATACCATAATACCCGGTGCAGGACCAGTGGCCGGTGCATAACGCAGCTGTTCAGAATCTTCTCTCCACGGTGTCTCCAGACTCGAATCCGACCATCGTGGTGTTGCAGACAGAAGCGTGACTCGTCAGTAAAGACAATTTCATTCCATTCTGCTGTCACATACTTCTTTCATCGCACCACTGGCGGCGGAGACGTCTGTGGTTCTGCGTCAAGGGTAGACGAAGCAATGAACGTCTTGCGGACAGACCACTCTGTTGTAAACGGCGTCGAATAGTATGTGCAGACACTGGATGATGCGTTACAGACTGAATGTGCTGTGCTATGGTTTGTGATGTGACTAAGCGATCCGTCACTGTCATGCGCACAATGTTCTTGTCATCACGTGAAGTGGAGCACTGAGGTGGATGCGATCGTACACGTCGGTGCGTTGTACCCTCTTGTAT